TTACCAATCAGCAGTTATGCATAGTTGGCTGCAAGGTAGAGGAAGCCTCCACGGGACAGATGAGGAAAATGATGTGGAACCAAATCCTGAGCCGCTTTTCAAAGGTGTGCGCCTGGCAATTAACTGCTATAAGGGGGTAATGTCCAAGAAAATAAATTTGTTAAATCTTTCAACAGGAGCTGGAAAAACTTTATGCAGTGATTATAGAGCAGCTGGAGCTGGAGACTACATTTCAGAAATGAAAGCATGTTATCAAAAAATGTAATCCAGTGACAATTATCTTATTTAATTTAGTATTGATTTACCCAAGATCATTGAACTTTCAGCGAATTTAAAGTAAACTGCATGTTTTTCAGCTTTCAGTGACAAATCCTGGCTTGTCAGAAAGCAGCAGGAGCTGCAACAACATATTTCAAAAATAAATTTGAAAATAACCTTGAGTAAGACTTTCATCTTTTTTTCCTGTACCTTTGCAATTTCAGTTGGATATTTCTACATTTACTTGGTAAAACCTCTAAAGGTGACCCCAACTCAACAACTGTTTACCACAGTTATAGCCATAATTCAGAAAAAACACACCAATGGCCATAAAAAATCTAAAAAAAACATGTATAGAGGTGATGTTTTTATTGCACGTCTCAAATTTCATTAAATTTTCTCGGCCTGTTATTAATATTATCCCGTTTTATTGACTCTAATATGTCTTATATTTAATGTTCTTGTTTTTTTTAATTGTTTTTATTGTTATTTAAGCTTTTAATATCTATATTACGGGATCTTATTATTTTTGGCTCGACAGTCAATTGTGAAGCACTAGCCTGTATGAAAGGTGCTAAACAAATTAAGTTGGTTCGATTTTAGATTTTGAATAAACAGATCTAGTTAGATAGCTAGCCTGGAACCCTAACACCAGAGGAACTCTAATTTAAAATGTTGATGTCTGCTGTTCTCTCAAACTACTCCCATTCAATCAAACATTCTTTCATTGTCTCTGTTTCTTCACCATGCACTCCAGCTTTTTGCTACCTCATATAACATTCTAGGATTTCACGCAGGCAGCCTGAAAGATTAATGAGCAAATGCACTTGTGATTGACTTTGTTAAATTTCTATCCATATTGCATGTGACTGCAAAATGCAAAGCTCTGTTGTAGAAGTAGGACAGATCTACCATTATATATAGATGAAAACCAAATGTGGGAGAGAGTGACAAGTTTGAAAAATTACTTGCTTGGGAGCTGGAAGCCTGAAGATACAAACAAACTTTGTGTTTTAGGTGTTTTGACTATAATGAGTTTCTCGAGGAGGAGTCTCGCTCCTTTCCGTGACACACATTTTGGATTAAACTATCCTTGAATGCTAAACTGTTTGGCAATGACGAGGTTGTTTCTCTTCCATTGAAGGGGAAGATGAAGGAAGAGTTGTCAAGGCCCCCGACAATGTTAAAAGTCGCTTGATCGATGTCCTGTCCCCCAAAAGACGGTCGAACGGTAAACTGTGACACTCCCAGCAGGGTGACTTATGAACTCGATACAGGCTGGAGGAAATTGTACAATTATCTTTTACAACATTTGATATCTGGCTGCCAATATAACAATGTTTGTAAATTTGAATAAATACAGCCATGAAGAATCACATTGAATGAGCAAACCAATAGAGTTTGGACTGGAAAATAACTAAGAAAGATTTAGATTATGAGGCTGGGATTTCTTTTTATTATTTACCACCAAAAAGGTCATGTTTTTAAATCAGCATTTGTTTGTCAGCTGGATTAGGAGTAGGGCATGACCCAAGGAAGATTTCACAAGAACTCTTACTCCACTTTCTTTTTTTTCCCCCCACTGTTACTTAAGATAGAAATCATAAACTAACAATGTTTCAATGAGTAGTTCAAACATGACCCAGTACTATTTTTCCCCTACACACGGCAAGCTCAGGTGACCCACCCTATGTGAAAAACAAACACATTCGGTTTGCAGCGCTGGCCGCCAACTGCCAATTATTGAGTTAAGCAAGGGGGCGAACAATGCAATGGGTTTTACACATCTAGACAGAAAACAAGAGGGCCCCGAGGTGTTCTCCAAACTCAATAAAAAATAATAAATAAATCACAGACAGAGTATGACAGGATTTTGTTTTGGTTCATGAACATGTAAGAGAGAGAAAAGAAGTCTAAATCTAAACTAGAATAAAATGTTTTCTGACATAACACTGAGGCTACGAAGAGAAAGACGGAGAGTCTGTCACGCCAGTCGACCGCAATGTAAAATGGAGGTGCATGTTGAGAGCAGTGGAATGTTTTATACATAGAAAACTGGAAACAACTGGGTCACACAACACCAAAAGACTGGCAAATGTTAAAATGTTGTTTGCCTGTGTGCACTGCTGCTCATATGAACAGTGGAAAACCTTAACAAAACATCAGTGTGTGTGTTTAAACTGAGCACAGAAGCAGTGAGAGAGTTCAGCACCGTTATTGCACTTTGACAAAATGATTGATTTTCACTTTATATTAAGCCTCATGCTACGTACAAACCCACAGTTCATGGACTGGATGACCAACAGTCAGGAATGTGTCTCCATCAGTAAACTTGGTTGACATTGGGCGATAGGTGGGGTACATCCTGGACAGGTGGAGTTATAAAGTCTTCAATCTTGAATTCAGATGCAGCTTTGAATTGAAATTCAGCGTACATGTGATAAGCCTGAGGTCAGATCAGCAGCTTACACTACACATAGGCTGAGTTGATAAATCACATCTCAAAAATATTTATGCCATATTGAGCTCTTCACACTCCCATTGAGTCTGGACCGACCAATTAGCCAAGAGGGCTAATCTGCACTCAGATCAGACTGGAGGTCGATGGATTTCCAACGGTCCAACAACAGTATTGATTCCATATATAACACAGATATGTCGTCTTGTCCAGCATCGATCCCACATTTGCAGAGGCAGGATATTACAAAACAAAAAAACATTCAATAGTGCTCTTTTGCCATCGCTGGCACATTTATCATAATTCACTAGTTCTTGGGGGAGGACAGCAATCAACCTGAGAGGGGGGGAGGCACGGCATTAGCATGGTGGCACGCTGCCTGGACTCAAGTCTCCAATCCAAGAGGCTAATTGGGTCTTATCCATTGAAGACTCATTAGAAACCAAGGTCTGAGAAACAATGCTGCCAGAGCTAGGAAGCAGACATTCCAATTACATTTTTTATCATCCAGCTCCACAACAGCCATGTTGTGTAATATTTTAATTGTGAGGAGAAGAAAGAGAGTATACACACTTTCTTTAGGACTCCAAACTTCCCCCAACTTGTTTAATATACAACCAATGACCTGTGAGTTTAAGAAAGTTAAAGAGCATGACCTAGGAAGTCTTTAAAACCGTGTCTCTGTGAGCATGGCATTAATCTAAAATGCAGTGGGACAATGGGGTATTGAGATATTGACAATGTTAATGGGATTTTAAAGAGTAGACAAAAAGTCATCAGTTACTATAATGGTGTTTAACTGAGGGAACAAAATGAACATTATCATATTCTGAAAAAAAAAAAATCCTGGATCCACCCCCTGATCCAGATCTGCACTCAATTTAATGGGTTCTTCCCTGACCCATACCGCATCCTTCCACCAAGTGTTGTGGAAATCTGTTGTTTTTGCTTACAGACAAAAAAAAAAAAACACTGACAGGGATGAAGGTGACACAGTAAAGGCCCATCATCACATAATCAACTTGCTTCTGTGGGGTAGCATCTTCAACTTCCACTTCTAAACAGATGGACAGTACCTGTGATTGTTCTCTCTCTTATCTCTTCACTGAGACCAACTTAGTCTCCTCACTCACTGCCCTATATAGGTGCAAAGCCAGTAAGTGAACTCAATGAAAGCTAATGCCAATCAAATCCACTGAGCTGTCCAGGAATGTGTCCAGTTGAAGAAATGCCGTCTGGGAGTCTTCCCACCTGTCTATGGCTGCATATGAAGTCTTTCAATCATGTTTCTTATTTTTGACATTTCTAAATCGGTAGATTTTGACTCATCAAGAAAAATGTATTTTCCTGAAAGATACCTCTAGTGATGTCAGCCATCTGCCCTGTCTACGTGTGGTGGAAAGAATGACACACAACTTTGAGTGATGAGCAGTTTGCACAGAAGGTTTTAAATTCAGACTGTGTGATCTTTCACGTCATAATTACTCCTGTAGTTTTGTATCAAGGACCAATTCCTGGGTCGACAATACAAAACATAGAGGGGATTAATCAAAGAGGGATGTCAAATAAAATGCGCCTCATAACGACAGCAGGTTTGTGGGGAGTAGGGGTTTTCTGTAGTTATCCCTGTTCTCAAGGCCAAGTTAATGTCAGTGGGTTTATCGAGTATAACAAAGACCACATTTATATTCTTCTCACACTGATAAGCTTAAGACGAACGAGTCATAAAGATCAAGTTAAATGAAAACATCATATATGGTGCACGCTATTAAAATACTAGGGGTCCTTGAAATGCCTTCTCAGGATCTATATCCTAAGAGCGTAATCCCTGAGGTTTAAGGGTGAAGTATATCTCAACCTGCTAAACTGACATAATTAAAACAGCACTTCAGCAGCTTCGGGCATATCATATGGTCAGGGATAAATGTTTGTATAATATTTTAGCTTCGACCAACAGAAATCTTCAAAGATAAAAGACAAACCCAGTAAGCATGTGTATAAATGCCTGGAAATTTTAAAATGCTTTACACTGAAAGAAAGAAAGAAACAAATGATGCAGGAGAGATGGACGTATGCATGTTGGCCTGATTTTAAATGCACAGTTAAGATGCAGTTACTTAAGAGTCCGTTTGAAGTCTGTTTATAGTTTTTATTAGTAACCTCTTGTCCAATTGCTTTAACTGGAGAGGAGAATGTATGAAATATATGACATCAGGTAAAGTGGGTGCCTATATTTTGTATGACTGTACAGATTGAGATCTTTCCAAGGTAAAACATTTCCTACCAGTCTGCCACCAGTGGTCCAGGACAGGAACGCCAAATTTTTTCTTTGCCCAATCCAATGTCTCCACATCACATCGCTCTCCTGCCAAGAATAGTGACCGCAAACTGCAATGACACAGGAATTGTCAAAATATGTCAAAGTCAATTCAATGCAAAATATCGGCAAATGTTTATTCAAGTTAATGTTCAAATTAAATCTTTTTAAAACCCTTATAAGGATAAGGGCTATAGATCATGGATAAAAGTTTGAAATGAACAGAAATGCACTACCTTGTCTATAGTTTGTCTGCGGACAAAAAAAATGCAGTGATTCTATGAAATACTTTTCCCTTTTTATGTAAATTACATGCATTTTCCTCATTTCAAATGCATTTCGTGGAGGATATTCTAAGTCTCCCAGCAATAAACCGTGTCAGTAATACTCTTTTTTTTTCCCCCCAGGAAAATGCTGTCCTCCAGATGGCCTCTGAGTCAATATTGATGAGACCCTGAATCGCAGAGTACCTAGAGAGAAAATATTCTTGCAAGGACGACATCTGAATATGTCAAATTCCACCCTCCCTTGCTTGTTCTTCCTTATTTAAGCTTTTGTTTCCTCCCAGTCCCTGGCTTCATGAAACCCTCCCCTGCATGCCCTACAAGTGACCCAGAACACTGCAGTCTCCATCTTCAGCCTCCCCAATTTCTCTCCCATCATTCTTTCCAAAACTCTTTCTGATGGCTGCCCATGGCTGCTCATACCTAATTCAAAACTCTGCTGGTTGCTCGCTACAAGGCAGTGAGGGGAACCGTATCGCCCTGTAAATCCAGGCCACGCCGCAGCCATAGATACTCGTCTGATCAGTGTGTTTTCCCCTCAAATGACTGCTGGTCATCACTCATCGGTTGTAACTCTCCAATGGAGAAATGACCTTCCAACTCCAATCAAACTTGAAGTCACATCCCATCTTTTGTAAAAGGCAAGACAAAATTTCATCATGCCACTCTCTCCCCACTGAAGTCCAACTTTCCATTCCCGCTCTCTCCCAGGGTGAAACTCTTGTCTCTTCTTCAAGCAATAGTCTCAAACTTGATTATCTTGTAGTCTCTGTAATATTTTTTTTTTGTTTTCTGTAAAACTTTGCTGGCACAGTTCATGTAAATAAACAGAAATTCCAAATGTTCCAACTGTAGCTATCACCACAAAAACATCACTGAATGACGCCTCAGAGCCTCTAGTACATCCAGTTTCAAATAACACCTCCCATAATGTTTTATTAAATTTTCTATGCAGAATTTTCGACAAAGAGGAAAATTGCACCTCTTAGGTGCTCTCATTTTAGAGGCAATTCTTCTCCAAAGCTATTAACTCACATTCAGCTCTAGGTTCTGTAGCTGTTATAACATGACCAATTGTGATTGTAATTTTTATAAATGTATCATCAACAGATTTTCCATCATGTATTATTTTATTAAAGGGCAAAAAATTATACAAAATGAAAATTGTTTTTGTTGCAGGAGGTGTTGGAGCATTACATTCATCTTTAATTGGATGATAATATTGGCCTATATGAGCCTTACGCAGAAATATCGTATTGTATATGTTTATTTTTACTTGTGTGAAAATAATTATGATACATGTGTAATAAATTGTGTAATAAATTGAAATGGCAAGACAAAATTTCATTATGCCACTCTTTTGAATTGAAATGAAACCAGTCCACCACGAGTGAAAATTCTGTCCTTGAGAACTTTGCACAATAACAAACTGAATAAAAAATGATTGACTCATTGTCCTGGCAGTGACCTTATGTTTAAACTAATCACACTTCAGCTATCATTCTTCTAGGTATTCAAGGACAATATAGATTCCCTGTGGTATTCAGGTTTTTCAGGGGAGTTCACAGTGGAAGTATTCACTGTGAGATTTACTGTGACCTCAGAAATAAAAGTGGAAGGGCTGTGGTTTGGCCGCTGCCCAAGCTCAGGGACTATCTAGCACACTGAGTCAGTAACAGTTAGTGTAAACATCCGTGTTCTGTTTTCAGGAGGAAGAACTCTTGATAAAGCCCAACCCTCCCTTTCTTAAATAATTCTCAAGAATCAACTATATATACAGAAAAATATAAAACCCTTAAAACTTTATTATGTTCCTGGTGTCCACTAGAAGTTAAAGGTGAAGGTAAGGTACAACGACGGCAAATGTACTCACTATATTACTGTTGCTTGGCTAAAAAACTAAGGAAGAAAGGATGTTAATGCAGAAGGCTAATATGTTCTCAATTTCTCTCCATGGTAACACTGTCCATTCTGCGGCCAATAAAAACTATTTCTATGATAGTTTGTAAAGATACAAGGCTACGCTAATCCCCACAGTACAGCCTTGAAGTTGGCCAATAAAGAGAAAAACATGCAACTCTTAGCGGTTAAGGTTATCCACATGATGGCCTTCTGTCACATTGTTAACATACTTTAAGATTATGTAAGGTAAGTGTGGCAAAGTTGATGTGAGAATAAGGGAGGGATGTGGCTGACGTTGGTGGAAGTGATATTTTCTACACAGATGGACATTCACTCTTATTTGGATACTAGAGTAGTTTCACTAACAGCATCAGAAATGCTTCTGATACTGATGAAATTACCAGGTCAGGCATTGAAACCTGTATGGGGAAGTTTAAAATGGAGAACATGCTGGTCTATTCTCATGAGTTTAACAGCTGACAGGTGCAAACGTCACCCTCTTTAAACAGCAGTGGCCTCGACTGTTCACAGAAAAGGAATCAAAACACTTTGTCATTTGTTTATGAGTGAGGCTCTCAACATTTAGTTAGTTCTCCTGGCTTTAAAAACACTAGTGACAGATTCTCTGCCCCTTTGTCACGCCACATTTATGCAGAGCACTGCTGCCATCACAGGTTCAGACAGCCCTGCAGCCAGACTGTCAATGTAGTTTTCACATCCACAGTGAGCAGAGTTATACGGCTCACGCACACTGATAAGGGTCCAGGGCTATTACAGTTGAGCGGGCCTTAGAGGGAGTAAACGTCTCGCAGTGTCAATAAAGCCCAAGCTGGGCATTTGAGCTGTATCAGATTATTGTTGGATGTTGCTCTAGCATGAAATCATGTGTTTGATAATAAAACTGAGAGTTTTCATAAAGATTTTACTACTTCTATTAACACAGTTAATAAAAAGTATACATTTCTATGTGTTACATCACAAAGAAAATAAGATAAAGACCTCTAAGAGGTGGAGAAATGCACATTTTTAAGTTTAATAAAATAAAAGATTAGCTACAGATGTTTTTGTATTGTGTTGCAGAGATATCTACTGAAGTCGAATTAACCAACTAGCCTCAAGAAGCATTATTGGGTCACTGTAACATCAAGTGTGTCGAACATGAGGATGAAGAATTGGTTAAATGAATTTTGTGTTGCATCATCCTCTCTGACCTCCAGCTCAGCTATTGATTCTGCTGCTCTCCCTCTTTATTCAAACTCTAGTGACTTGTCCTCTAATCCTGCCACAGCTACATCTTCACTCTTTCTCTGACTGGGTGTTATCATTGTCAGTGTCAGACAATAACGTACGAAAACACTTAACAAGTAACATAATCAGACAGCAAGGTGACCCTGTGTGAAGAACATTATTCCAAGATTCATGTTGGTTTTTGACAAAAGAAAACTCCAATATCATTAAAATATCACAGATTCCAAGTTTCTCAACATTGTAAAGTGTCTTTTCAGAAGCTCAAGTGAAAGGTTTGACCAGACACCTTCACCTAACCACCCTGTACTAAAATTAAACCATGTTTCACCACTGCTTTTGTACTGCTGTCACCACATCATGGTGGGATGTTTTGCTCAGCGCCAAACGAAAAAAGCAGTAATCATTCACAAACCTGCCTCCTCCAAGGGTAAAAGACACATTAAGAATACAAGTAAGCGTACACAGAAACAGCATGACGCTCAAATGACTGATTGTGGCAGAGTCAAAACTGAGGGGATAAATGTCAACAATATTTGATATCCTAGAAAATAATCTTGGGATTGCGAGAATAGCATCTAAAAAAGGTGCTGTGCATTCAACACTACGACCAAGCGAAGATTGTCAAATTCAGCACACAATGCTAGAGTTGCTGAATGATTCACCGGGGCCATAGGTCATCCACACTCAGGATTGCTTTATGATTGTATGCTTAGAGGCCTTTACAGACTGCTGAACAGAATCAAAGTGGAGAATTGACACAACAACCCCTCAGGTCCAGGTTTCTTCAGTATTCTCCACCAAACGATTTACAATTCTGATAATCTCAGCAAGTATTTGACACACAAATATTATGAATGATGTTTATTTTTTAACTGAGACACACGTGACCTTTACGGAAATAGTGTGACCAGAAGAGCTGTGGAAGCAGGTTCACACAGTATGATTTAGTACAGGTGGACTGTTATCCATCCTGATTAACACCAAAGCGGCTCGAGCTGAGGGTTCAGACTGTGAAGGAGGTGTGAGAGGGCTGTGCATCAGCAGATGGCTGGAGACTAACCAGAGGCTGGACACGCAGCACAGACCACCAGCAGCCATGAGACACTTCAGCACATCTTTCCTGAACTCACAAGTGGCAGTTAAAAGTTTAAGCCTTCATAAACTTTTCTTAAAAGCACAACAGATGTGCATTGTGGGACGACCGAGCCTTCTCCAGCTGCCGCCTTCCTATACACTGAAATTCAATCAGTTCATCTTTGAGTTAAGAAATTGAAGAAAGTCCCTAAAGGCAGACTTGAGATATCACGTTCAAGAGGCAAAAAAACATGTTTTGTGAGGCCATTTGTGCCTAGTTTGAAAGACTCTCGCAGCGTTCTTGAGATAACATCTTCAGGAGGCAAAACAAGAGCTTCAGTTGATTACTCATAAATAAATCAATACCATTTTTGTCTATAAAATGTTAGCGCTTTCCAGATGCCCAGTCCAGACCCCAAAGATATATTTACAATGCTGTAAGAGAGAAAAGCAGGAGATCCTTGCACACAAGAGTATATATATAATTATTCCAGTAAGACTCTGGCACAATATGAAAGGCACTGGTTTGTTTTGCTGGATTCTATAGTAAACACTAACAAACACTTTGCCTTATTTCTAGGGATTTTGCTTCTGTGTCGAGTGTTGCTATCTACCTGGCCAGGGGGTATTTTTTCCCAATTTCAGCTTGTGGGTCTTGCTGGCGAATGGCTCGGATGGCAGTGGGTGCTGTGAACATGGAGGAGGCTCTGTGCTCAGACAGTACACGGAAAAATGCTCCAGGGTCTGGGGTCCCAACAGGTTTACCCTGTAAACAGAGATATAACTCAGACAACAGATTGCCTACAGTGTGAAACTGAAACATTTCAACAAGATTTTCACACAGCTTCATTATACATATTCACTGCAGATGTCATTTAAAAAAACATGAATATTCACAGAAGGAGCTGCTTAAAATGGATAGCCACATTGAAAAGGCTGCTTTACAGACAGATGGGCCCAGGAAATCCATGGACTAGAAAATACAGTGAGTATTGTTTGTCTTGAGAAAAAGATTTAGACAAAAGAAACCTGCAGGCAAATAACTCCAACAGCATTTTCCTCTATGTTGCATTTGACTAGCCTGTCTCCTTAAAGCAAGACAACAGGTGCAGATAAATGACAATGAGCAGCAGTGAGTTCCAGTTGTCATTTTTGCTGTGGGTAAATATTCTTTCAATGTATAGATCAGACGAAAAAAAAGATTGACAGCGTCATGCCTGAATATATAAGCTGATAAAACGAAATCTACACTAGACAATGAGCGTGGCAGGAGTCAAACATTAGCTAAAGTTGAGAGGTTCAATTTTTCAGCATGACCCTTTTCCTGCAGGTGAGAGAAAAAGATCTACAGAATTTGTTTTATGCTGATAACCCTCCACATAAACAGTTGGCACAGTCTGTGCTTCACTAAATGATGGGTAAAGGACTCGAAAAACAAAGCTGCATAACCTGTAATAATCAGATGCATTAATATTGAGTAGCTGTTCGAAACACAATCACACAGAAAAAGCTTGTTATTTGTTTTTCTTGTTTGAATACTGCTGCAGCACTACAGCAAATGCCTGAAATGAAGATTGTATATCTTATATTTTGGCTTAATTTCAGTGGAACAGGAGGAAGTGGGGACGCATCGTGCATGTTGATTTACAATCTCTTGCTAAAACCTGAACATTTGAATTGAAACATTCAAATCTTCCACCAAATGGATAATTTATGCTGGCTGAATTTTCTTTTTATCACCAATGTGCAGGTAAAAAACTGACTGTAATTACTCAAGAAAAAGAAATGGAAAGAAGGACTGGAACAGAAGTTGCTGCAGTCTCTCTCAGGAGACTGGACCACAGCAGCCAGAGTTAAACATGGAAACAGGGTCAAGGAGTTCACATCTTAAACTGAGTCCCAGTCCACATTTACTGAAGTCATTAACCAAATATGGAAGTATTCAGCTTGCAGGGCCATCGAGGGCAGACACCCAACCTGACTCATGCAGCTTGTTGAGTTGAAAATCTCAAGTTTCATAGTACGCTTCTATGTGTTGTTGTTGTAGCTCTTTTTAGGACAGTAAATCTTGTTGACAGGGACATACCTCATAGAGAATTGTGCTGTTTCCATGGAGCAGGGGACCATAGCAGATATATGAATGGCCGACCACCCAGCCCAGGTCTGACGCTGCCCACCAAATCTACAAATGGTTAAGAGTGACAGGAGAGAGAAATTCACTATGTCCTCAATAATTCCTTCTGCAGCTTTCAATTCTAAAAATTTAAACGTTCATGGGTGCAATAAACGTAAAATCAAATGTGTTGTATAGACGATAAATGTTGATCAAAATAAAAAAAGGAAACATTAAATTCAGAACTTGTGTCTCTTCAGTTCACGTAAACATCACGCTGTGATTAAATCTTCTTAAGAGTGGAGAACAATCTCTTGGCTGACTGCACGGTCTTTGTTCTCATGCACAGCATTAACTCAGGAGGAGGATTCTTTATTGCCTTACATCTCCAGGACTGAGTCCATAAATATTTGACATGGTCCATTTCAGCATCACAGCATAGCCAGCAGTGTCTCGCACCACACCCTGGGGGACAAGAAAAGACAAACACCAGGCAAGTGACAGGCAGTAGGCAATAATATTAATCTTAATATCGCCATTTATTCGTTCTGTACAGAAGGAGATGGTACTTTGTTTTCAAATGAATGCCTCTCAAACCAATTACAGCTTTTATTAGTTAATGGTGCTGCACAACCATTTTTGCACAATAGTTTCAACAATTAGAGCTTTTTTTAGAGTTCTGCTCTCCCTATAGGCGTAACAGAGAAAGTCACAGATGCTCAGACAGAAAAAAAAAGCTGACAAGAGCTGCGCTATTAAGCTCAGGAAGTAGCCAGCAGGTGGATATTCTTTTGTCATCTGTTGACCAAAGACAAAATCATGCCGTTTTAAAAAGGGAGCCACGGTTTTTCCATCTGGAACTGCCGACAGGCAATGCCTCCTCCGTGAGCTCCAGCTCCTGCTGTGGAAAAGCTCCATCTTATTTATGTCATGTTGATGGTGTTTAGATTGAGCCCGGATTGTTTTGCAGAGTCAAAGAGCAGATGAATCACAGGAAAGCTCCGCACAGAACCGAAGGCACTTAGACAAACAGCGCCAACAGAAAATCCTATAACTCATGTGAAATGTTTACATGGTGTCTGTAAGTCAATGCATGAGGTGATGATTTACATTTTTTCCACTGTTGCTGCTGCTGTAAGAGCCAGTACCTTTGGTGTTCCAGTGGTCCCAGAGGTATAGAGGACATACAGTGGATGGTTGGAGGGAAGAGGAACACAGTCGTGTGGCTGAGCAGTGGCCATCTCTTCCTCCCAGTCAAGATTCAGCTCCGGACTCACTGATACTTTCTCCTAAAAACACAGGAGGATATTCGTGTTTGCATTCTGATCAGTGTACAACAACAGGAAACAGTGTTGAAGGTCGTCTTTATTATCCCACCAGGGGATTTCCTTTTGTTTGCAGAAAGGGTTGTCATACAGAGAGAATACAGGAGGACAATATCAACAGTGAATCACAGAACTGGCCTCAACGACAAGAATACCAATAAATTATCTCCACCAATAACCTACTAGTAACTATAAAGTATGAATACATCAAATATATACAACTATCATATATAATACAATTTAAATAACAATAATGGAAGTGAATTAATAAAAATATGGGACTCGTATCAGTACGTTATAAAGATAGAAAAATATATGTATCTCTGCATGTGGTCTGACCTTTTATTTCAGTTGTCAGTGGGTTTCTTTGAAGTGACAAGGGACAAAATGTATAAATATATATTTTATACAATTATATAATATTTATGCAACAGACTTAATGTGGAAAATCTGTTCCACCTCCACTCTGTCATTAAAATTTCTTGTGCCAACAGCAGTCAAGGTTTAAGACCCTTACATTTTCTGTCTCACGCCACATCTTCGTGAACCTCTTTGATACTTAATTTCTTTAACATTTAATTTTCCCGAGAGGGTGAAGAAAATTCTCTGTCACATCTTTCTCTTGTTCTCAGAAAACTAGCTCAAATCTAAGGCATCGTTTAGTATCACGCTCAGATTCTTCAGGCAGAGGACAGACATCCCATAAAACCTCTAGCTTTCTGAAATGCATCTTTGTTTATCCACTGAAGCAAAGCCAGGGTAAAACTTGGCTGCTTCAACGAGGCTTTCATGTTGGTTGGAGGCTGTGTTCAAAAAAAATCCACAACCTCTTGCTTACTGAATGTGGGACGTGATAAAGCAGCTGCATCAACTGTCAAAGTGGTGTTTCACATGATCTTAAAGGGGTTGAGTTTCCACTAAATTTCCTGGGAAAACAATTTCACAGTTTACTTACAACAGCCTTGTAACTCTTCCAAAAATAATTTTCCTTACAGCAACCTCTTAAATCTCCGGGGAAAGACCTGAGAGATGATAATGGAGATAAAGTGGCAGCTCACTGTGACGTCACCATTTGTTTCTGAGCTGCTGTTACCAAGCCTAAAGTTTGCTTGAGGTCACTGCACATCCACCTATTCCTGCAGCCACTCATAGTAAAAGCCTGAGACAGGTTAAAGACATCATGAATACCGACTGCAACGCAATTATTTCCTTAATCTCAAACTTCGCTGTGCCTCTTTTATTACCCGAGTATCAGCAAATCAAGCTAATTTTGACTTGTTGTAACAATAATAATGCATAATTGTTTGCTTTCTGATTACACTAAACAGACGTCTTACAAATTGTCTAAACAAGGCTGCCTGTGAAACCTCAACCCCTCAGCTGCCCACATTCCAGGTAAATTTTTCACTCCCGTCTCATCCAATTGAACGAGCTATGCATCATTTCATCATTTGATTCAGAGGCAAGATTTGTATTAAAGTTCCTTACATACATATTTGGATGATTCCAGGCGATGATCCCTCAAAATCCAATGTTTTAGATTCAATTGAATGAATAAATGCACTATTATAGGTTGAAAGCTGCAATTCTTCGCCTCGGGAAATCTTTCTCTCCCAACAGCAGCTACACCGTGACCGCACTTGTCAGCTTTACATATGGCAGCCATATTTCAGATGCACTTACAGTTTGTCACATCAACAGCAGGTTTACAAATGACACCACACAGTCAATTTTAGTTTTGCGGCGCTCGGGTTTCTTACCATGTTAGGCCTGTTGTAAATGAGAACTTTAGAGGGCTTGTGAGAGCTTAGCTCCAGGGCTTTCTCCACTAGAGGGATGTACTCGACTCTTCTGCCAGGCTCGATGCCAAATGAGGACGTGACCATCAGCTTGGGCTGAAAAACACAGAGAGAATGTGATTGGGATAAAATGTCAACAACTCACTTCATAATTTTTATAGCTATATTTGAAAAAAGAGCAGTCCACTCATCATACTTGAAAAAAAATGATTTGCTGCATTTTTAAAAAGGGTATTAGTGTTATTAGTCTGTAGCAGCACTGCAGTGTCAAGTGCAGTTCACTTAAGCCTATTTAACATGCATGTGATTCCAATTCCAAACAAACTAACAGGATTAACGCGCACACACCTGAGCTGTTCCTGGAGGGTAAATAGCATTTTCTATAACTTTTTAGATTTTAAAGTTTGAGGCACATACATTCAGAGGCCACAACATTGAAGCAAATGTGACACACTCTGTCATTGTTGTTTTATTTTGCCATAGAGGCTATTTAGGGCCATTACAATGTCTATGGTAATGCTGAGTATGGATCATTCATAAAAAACAGTTCAAACACTTGGATCAAGTTAACTGGGTGCAATACTTGACACCATTGTATTTCTTCAAATATACATTTGTATAAACACATCACTCGGCAGAGTCCATTATTGTCAGACAACTGGCACTAACATCAATTTCAAGTGTGTGGTTCTGAAAAAGAAGGCAAGCCAAGTGCTTTTCACTGTGAATGATTCATTTTGAGCTTAACAAAACAAAGAAGCCTCAGGCACCTTTTGTTTTCAGTGAGATATTTTTTGCAGGATGAATGGTGCACATTACTAATGGTGCTAGACAAATTTGAATTGGAAAATTGTTAGTTGCATCAGTGTTATTGGTCTGTTTAATACCATATGGCCAGGGTACTGAAGAGTGACAGTTAATAAAGATTATATAGTTTTATCACAGCTCACAAAAAGAAAAAGCTCAACCACACCGGGATAACATTTTCTAACCTTGGCATGATTGATGCGGACGGAAAGCTCTTTAGCGGCAAAGCCGCCAAAGATGAGACTGTGTGGGGCACCGATCCGTGCACAGGCCAGCATGGTGAACATGGCCTGGGGCACCATGGGCATGTAAATGACCACCAGGTCTCCTTTGCGAACCCCATTCTTGACTAGGACTCCTGCTAACCTGGACACCTGGATTAAGACAGAGTACAAAGCATCAATTTTAGAATATATACTTATATGTAATATCAATAATTGTCCATGGCTGCTATAATCAACATACCAGCTAATAAAATAATGTAAAAAATACACATGATGTTTATGAATTTGAGCACGGTTTTAAGGTAATATGAGAAAACAAATATGAAGGTGTACTGACTGAATGTGAAAAATGAAAAGGTCTCAATATTGTAAGTTTAATTAAATGAGGTGTCTTTTTGCTTTGGGTTAAAGGCCAACAAAAAGCTGTAGCAATACCATTGCTCATTTAAAACACATTCAATTATAGTACATGCCACTGAGCCTTGATTGAACTGGAGCGTCTGCCCAAATGTCAATAAAGTTAATTATTTCCCTCTACCACTTATTATGTTGTATGCTGGGTCAATCCAGCTGCCACAGCAGAAAAACAGCAGAGAAACGTGGCCAAGTAACTCAGCTGAAGGATTGAAAGTGAATTTATTGTTATGGAAACACATTCTAATTTCAGAGGTAAAAAAATAATTCCAGCCAGCTTCACGATGCATTTCAGCATCATGATCAGCCTTTGATGAAGCGACTTTACGCAGCTCTTTATACTTTCCCATTCGACAACCTCTGTGCATTACTCACCTGGTCCTGAAGTTCCCTGAAAGTGATGATCTGTTTAATTCCAGTCACTGGGCTGTCATAGATGATGGCAGGCTGCTCGCCGCGGCCGCTCTCCACATGTCGATCCACAGCATTGTAGCACACGTTCAACTTCCCTCCGACAAACCTGACAGTAATAAAACATAACCACTCACCACTGCTCAACAGTCAAAAATATACATTTATTTAATTAATTATTAATCAATATACAAAATACTGTGAATGAGGCAAAGTTGGCTGTACAAGCACATTTTTATCAGTTTTTAAAAGGCAACCTGAAATAAAAATGACCTCTTATATAAACATCTATAGATAATGCATGTGCAGCATACATACTATCCATATTAACTGCACCACAAACCCATGATTAAAACACTATGGCCAATAATAAAAATAGTTATAAAAAAAGACAAACCGTAATTAAACACTACATCCAAAGAAAACAAGCAAATAACCCATGATTAAACTACATAATAAAAATCAAACAATACTGTACATTTTTTAGTAAATACACAACTAAAAACACATACAATGAACCAGATATATCATATAGCACCTCTCGAAATGTTTAGCTGGTAGGGTGACTTCCTAAAACTGAAGACAGACAGCACACAGCCAATCAATGCACTTGATAAGGCCTCACTTGAACTAAATCTGCTGCTGTGCATATGGATGAAGAGCAGCAGGCAGGTGGAGCAGATGGTGCTTTAGGAGCCAGAGAGACACGGTGCTCTGTGCCTTTCATTTCAATATGTCTGCAACACATCCAGGCGGCTCTGGCTTTTTTTTTTTTCTTTACGTGCTATAAAGTGCAATAGTCAAACTCAATCACCGAAACAAAACAAAGGGATTTTTTTCATTTCCCCAGTCACTGCAAGAGGACGTGTGTAAAATGATAAACACAAATAAATCTAAAATATATAATACGAATAAAAGTTAATAAAAAGTTAAGCTTCTCTCAACACTGTGCCAGGTGTTAGCTGATTAGCTTGTGTCACCTGGTTAGCTGACGTTAGCTTAACGTGGCTAACCTAGGTGATAGGCTAACGTCAGCTTTCTCTCAAAAAAAAGCAAAACAATGAATAAACACAAGAGCAGCTTTGATGGAAAACTAATGAACCACCTACCAACATGTAAAGAAACATCTTCACAGACTCTTCTAGTCAGGAGGAGAAGAAATAAGTGAATAATTCAACCTGCTGCAACTTGTTTAGCTAATTAATGCAAATCATGGCTCAAAATGGCCGGCGGAAGTGACGTAATATTGTCTCCTCAGGTGTTTCCTGAATTATTAAATTACATTATAATATAATATAT